AATCCAGAAATGGTAGGAGAACATGGTAGCATACACTTGTAAAATCAGTACTCAGAAGACTGAGGCAGGAAAGTGTAAGTTGGAGGCCAGTCTGGGTTACATGGCAAGATTTTACATTAAAAAAAATCTAGAAAATGTGTATAGAGTAGTAATTTGATGTGCAATCAAAAAACTCACTTTCCTACCACATGCCTCAAAGTCTCAGCAGTGAGTCACTGGGGTGGCCACTGGGGTGTCCTCTATAGCTTTCATCAACCCCCAGCACCCCCAGCATGCTTCTGATAATAGCTGCCTTTCCTGTGGAACTGCACATAATAGAGAAAATATTTTCTGGAACACAGCTTACTAAGTTGGGTTTCTTATTAGATGACAGAGATCTAGGAAGACCCTGGAGTGTTATGCAAGAGACTATGTTTGTGTGTGTATGTATATGTGTATGTGTGAGGGTCTGTGTACGTTTGTATGGGTGTGCTCACACATACATATGTACTTACTGATCTGTCACCTCCACATGCTTTTCAAAGGAGTCCATTATTTATAGAATGTTTGAGACTCTTCTGGAAGAGCCATAAGTGTAGATGTTGTCTAACTAATGCAGAAACCCCCAGGAGGGGGTTGGCCACATTGGCCAGGTAGGGTTGGGTGGGAATAGTTGTGTGAAGAGATGCCTGACAAGAGGCCACACTGTCGAGTCACACAGGAACAAACACTGAACCAAACACCAAGCCATATGTCTGTGTGGACTTTAGGGTTCTGTGAAAACAGCTTTGAATGGAGAAAAAGGATGTGGGAGCTGACCAGACTTCTTACACAATATAAGGAATCAAGATCTGGGTTTCTGAGCATGCAAGAAGAGTGACTCCTAAGAGAGACAGGGAGAAGGTATGGCTGGCAATGGGTGGAGCTCCATGGATGGAGCTCCCTGGGTCGTTGACTGAGAAACATGAATGGAGGGTCCTGAGTAGGGCATGTCCTCTGGTGATGAACAGGGAAAAAGGCAAGGGAACCCCTCCCGTAATGGTATTTAAGACTTCAATGCCCACAAGCTGGATCTCAGCATAAGGAAAGGGGAAGGGGCATTGGGGAGAGGGAGTCCCTGGTCCATGTCAGACATGGAACTAAGTCACTTCTAACAGCTCTCATATATAATCCTATAGGAGAGAAAGCCTCATACTTCTCCTGACCCCAGAGTTATTGAAAACAAAACAAAACAAAAACTCATGAGGGAAGGTACACATAGAACCATAGGAAGTATCTGGTAAATTCTACATATTTCATGAGTGTTTTTTTTTTTTTTTTCTTTTCCTTCCTTCCTTCCTTCCTTCCTTCCTTCCTTCCTTCCTTCCTTCCTTCCTTCCTTCCTTCCTTCCTTCCTTCCTTCCTTCCTTCCTTCCTTCCTTCCTTCCTTCCTTCCTTCCTTCCTTCCTTCCTTCCTTCCTTCCTTCCTTCCTTCCTTCCTTCCTTCCTTCCTTCCTTCCTTCCTTCCTTCCTTCCTTCCTTCCTTCCTTCCTTCCTTCCTTCCTTCCTTCCTTCCTTCCTTCCTTCCTTCCTTCCTTCCTTCCTTCCTTCCTTCCTTCCTTCCCTCCCTCCTTCCTTCCTTCCTTTCTTTTTTTTTAAGACAGGTCCTCACTATGTAGCCCTGGTTGGCCTGGAACTGGCCATGTAGACCAGACTGGCCTTGAACTCACAGAGACCTTCCTGCTTCTGCCTCCCAAGTGCTAGGATTAAAGGCATGTATTACCATGCCCAGTTTATTTTCCTTTACTTCATATCCTCTAAGGTCTTAAGCTAAATAGGATATCTTGCATAACCCCAAAATGTATCAAGCCCTTTTCCCATACTCTCACAGCATCCTGTAACTGTCACACTTATAAATTATTAGGTGATCTATATGCTGAGTGTCTTGAACTACTAGATTGGCATCTCTGTTATGAGATATCTGTTATTTAGTGTCATCCAGTGTCCTCTGAGCCTGGCCCAGGACTGCACACTGAAAATGTTCTACAGAAAAGTGCTGAGCACATGAGCTGAACATGGGAGGTCAGGCAGAATCAAGTGCCACGCTACTGTTATATAGACAGGGAAAACAATGCTCACGGAGGCACCCAACTGTGATCAAGGCTACATGGCTAGGAGTGGAGGAGCAAGGAGCGGGAGGCAGAGGCTAGAATCCACCTTCAGCGCTTACACCCTGGCCCTGCCCCCATGAGGAAACCACACGAGCTCATTTGCCTAGGTCAACACAGCAACAGGACTCTAAAGGACATGAAAATGAAAAGCACAAGTCCCTGGGGACCCCACCCTGCTGCCCCTACACCATCCTGCATCTAGGCAGTTTCATGGAAGGTCTTCTTGCCTGTGATATTCCAGGGAGATTCAGGGCGACATCTTGAAGCTATGCTGACCATAAGCACGCCATAGTTATGTTGGTCCCTGTGGGCCAGGGTACTTGATGCTGTGTCAGGAAGCCATAGAGGACAGTAGCTTAGTGTTACAGGGTGAGAGGGGAGGTTGGGGAGGACATTAGAAGATGGAGCTTGAAGTAGGTATTGAAGGAACGAGGCAGGTGGAGAAAGAAGGGCAATCTGGGGAGATGGATCAGCACCTTCAAAGCCAAGATTCACCTAAGCTTCGTAAGAGGAAGCAGGAGGCTAGACCTGGGCTGGGTGGCAGGAAGTCTTGATACTCATGCTAACAGACACAGTCCCAAGTGGAAGACAAGGGAAGCTCTGCAGGCTTTCAGCTGAACAGCAACTCATTCAGATTTGTTATCTTCCATCACCACAGCAACAGGCTAGCATCTATATGAGGGAGGCCCACTGAGGCCAAGCTCCAATGGTCAGAATTTGGGACCCAACTAATGGAGTTAGGAGATGCATGCTCTGTGCTATGAAGATTATCCACTTTCCCCATTTGTCATCCCGCCAGTCCTTGTACCTTGTGACATCTATCCTTGATCATCCAGAAGTCACCAAACACATAATCTCAATTATCCAGAAACAAGGTGCCAGTCAAGAAGCAAATAGACAAAAATTGTAGATGACTATGATCTATGCCTCAGAAGTACAAGGCATGCACTTGGCAACCCCAGGCACACACGTACTGCCACTGGTGCTTACTCATCTCTGGTCAAGAGTAAGTCCAGAGTCAGCTCAGCTCCAGCACTCCTGGCTGAGTGGCCTCAGCCCCCCAATCCATTTCCTCATCTATAAAATAGGAGTATAGCTGCAGCCATCTCAGAGTGTGGACGTAAAGATGGAAGGACATGAAGCACTTAGTGCAGCATCTAACACCACAGAACCACAGCCAAAGGGAAAAGTCACCAAGATAGACAAAGAGAAAAGGCAGAAAATGTGTCCCAAGCAGACCCGTGGTACAAAAGAGAAGAGCAGGCTACAACCAACTCATCAAATTCTCACGAAGTTACTCAATCACATCTGATGTGCTATATTTACAGGGCAGGCAATATTTTTTGCAAAGATTGTCTTTAAAACTAGATACCATCAGAATGGAACTCGCTGTGTAGACCAGGCTGGCCTTGATCTCACACATCCGCCTGCCTCTGCCTCCCGAATGCTGGGATTAAAGGTGTGCATCACCACACCCAGCCAAGTATCTCTTTCTTGACTAGCTGGTGGATCATCCTATCAAGCCCTTCTAGAAGCTTCATCTCTTTATAAATTTAGGATTTCAACTCACCAGTTGAAGCCCAGAAGATCTTCTGAATCACAGTGGTCCCACAGAGCAGGCCAGTTCAGTCCCTTGGTTAGGGTAAGCTTCTGTAGACAAAGGTCTTCTATGGGCTTGTGGATAAGCCTACACCACTGCGCCTGCCCTGGGGATGCTAGGAAGCTTGTGAAAAACATGTGCAGACTATCTCCAATGTGTAGCTCTCACCAAATCTGTCTCCTTCATTTCCCACATGGCCCTGTGGATCAGTAGTATAGAGCCCATTTTACAGATAAGGAGACTGAGGCAAGCCAGATAAGGCAACTGAGGCAGGCAGAGGGGTAGTAAGATGCTGGATGTCACACTCCAGGACCTGGCTGGAATCAGGTGTCTATTCCAGCATTTACACTGCTGGAGCTTATCAAAAAATTGAAAAGTTCTGATTCTAGATGTCACCCTTGGAACGTGATGAGCTGGAGCCCAGAGAATCTGTGCTTCAACAGGAAGGCCAAGAACACAGCTCAGCCCTGGGGACCCAGCCTTACCAGGTAGTCCACAGCACAGACAGAGCACCCAAAGGGAAGAAGAGATGTCGATTCAGAAAAGAGCCCTCATTTTGCCAAAACCCACCCCTCCTAGCTGCAGGAGATGTAACTCACTTCATACCACATCCTGCTGCTTTCATCTCACCTTCCTTTTCCCTCTGAACAACCTCCTTCCTCCTACTGTCCTGAACTTGCACACACACACACACACACACACACACACACCCCTGGGATGGGCCAGCGCTCATGTGGATGTGCAAACACGTGTGTATGCACACACACAGACACAAACTCACTCACACACGTGGGTCCTAGCGTGTAAACATTGATCCTCTAACAGTGACATGCAATTCTCTACAACAGCAGCCGCTCTCTCAGGGCCCACAATCACTAACAAGGGGCAGTCTGATGTTTGACGGAGGACAACCCTAGGTCCTGATGGCCAAGGTCTCCTGCTGCTCACGCTCCCCAAGAGTTGTGAGCCAGAGGACCGCACGTTCCTTTACTCTAGGGCACAGGGTGGCTTGTGACCCAGCAGGAGGCTGCGTACACACTCGGACGCATATTTGTGTAGATTATGATGAACGGTCCGGGACGCCCATTCAGTCTCCGGGTCTGCCACCAGGGTTTGAGGCCCAGGGGTCCCACGGAACTGGAAGACGTCGGACTGTCCTGCCTCCCCGCTGCAGTGGCGGCTGTCGGGGCACATTGCTCCGCGAAGGTTCTCATCCTGCTCTGAGCTCCCACTCATGCCCTCAGCACCCTCCCGGCTGCCCAGCCACACACCTGCAGTCCCCACCGGGCGCCGAGCCCCTCTCCAGCGGCGACTCCCTGCAGTTGGGGTGAGGCTCCGGACCACCCCACAGTGGCTGGTGCCAGGCAGCAAGTCCCAGCATCTGCCAGGTCTCCGCCAGCCTGGGGGCGGTGCCTTTGTGGGGCGTGGCTTCGTGGGGGCGGGGTCTAGGCGGAGCTAGTCCCCAGACAGGCTTCTTCGGACCCCTGGTGGTTGGGATGTGTCACACAGGTGCCTCTCGGCCCAGGCATCCCAGAACTCGAGTGTTTGGATATCTGAGAAGCCACGCGCGTCTGGAGTCCCGCCTGCCCTCGGTAGGCACAGGCCCTGGCTGCTGTACTAGCACGGAGCACCGCGGCCCCCAGGAGTAAGGTGAGGTGGGGGTGGGGCGGAAGAGCGTTTTGCAGCGCGCAGGGGGGTGGGTGGGGGCTTCGGGGAAGGAGGAGAAAGAGGAAGCTCCACGACCTGCTTCCTTCTAGCATTGCGACCCAGAGCCCCACTTCCTCCTACTACTTCTATTTTCTTCGGGTGCTCTTAACCCTTTAAAGGCCTGCACCCCTGCTGTGCTGAGGGGCACTCTGACTCCTCTCCCCTTTCTGCAGGAACCGTCCTAGAAATTTCCAGCCAATGCAGATTTTCAGCACTGTTTCCCCAGCCTCTGGTTCGACTTTTTCACCATCGCTTCACGGTGCCAGAGTCACCTGTCTTTTCCACGGGGTCCCACCTTCGAAGCCAGGAGTAAGTATAGGCATCCAATACCAACCACAACGTCATACGTTATTGTCGGTCAAAAGCCACAGCCCCACCTGAAGCTCAGCAATGTTAACATCAATAACTTGTCTTTTCCTGACTCCCTAAATACCAAGAAAAAGCAACTTCCCCAAATGGGCAGAAACAGAAAGTACCCTTTGGGCTGGCACAGTACTTAAAAATTGGAAGGGTCTCAATGCCTCCAGCATGCCTCTCCAGTGTGGACTCTGCCCAGCACCCGTTTACACAAGGAGAGCCCAACCCTGAGTACTGGGGTTCACACTGTCTCCCAAGTCACTATTTGGTCAACCAGGAAAATGCTGACATGTGGAGGAAGAGGAGGAGAGGGACAATGGAAACAGCCCACTGGGGACTGAGGGAAGCACTCTGGAAACAAGAAAGGACTGGGCAAGAATGAAGACACTATGTGCCAGATGGAAAGGCTGGAGGAGAGCACTTTTAAAGGGAAATAAAGTGCTAGAGAAATTATGGGGTGCTTGACGGCTTCCTAAAGCTCCTAAAGCTGAAAGACAGTAAGCTGAAACAGTTTCTCACTCCAGGTGATTCTCAGGGAGCTGGGAAGCCAACTCAGTCCCATCCTGCTCCCCTCTGAGATGATACTCCCTCTCCACTAGCAGCTGTGACCCAGAGGTTGAGCTTGAAATTATTCCCCTCCAATACTGGGATGTGTCCATGTCCCTGCAGGATTCACCTCCAGCTAGACCTCAAGAACATCGGGCATCTTCTGACCAGACATTAGAATGACAGCCACCAAAAACTTTCCCCAAAGGAGCTGGGAAGACCCCCAAGGGTGTCTCTGTCACTCAATGGCACCTAATTGCATATCAGCCACTTTGTACAGCTCTTTTGTAGCCTCCTTTAAAAATATGTCTGTGGGGCTAGAAAGATGGCTCAGTGGGTGAGAGCACTGGCTTCTCTTGCAGAGAACCTGGGTTTAGTTCCTTGCATTCACATGGAGGTTAACAACCTTCTGTAAGGCCAGTTCCAGGGGACCCAGCATCCTCTTCTGATCTCTGAAGGTATTGCATGCATGTGGTGCATCTACATACATGCAGGCAAAATACTCATATACATAAAATAAAAATAAATGAATTTTTAAAAATGCCTGTTTGTAACTGTTCCTTTCCATTTTGCTGCCTCGTATTTTCAAAGAGAAGCCTACTCTGTCTTGACTTCCCCATCTTACAGTTATTCCACAATGCTCTAAAGAAGGTCACCAGGAAAACCTCAAATGCCAAATCCAGTGTGCTCAGTTTTGAACCTTACTACCTTTCTGAGGAAATTCCCCCTTGGCTGAACCTCCTTCACCTGTGACCACTATTTCTGACTTCTCTTTCTGGCTTTTTTTCTTCATCTTCCCTTTGGTATTGGAATGACTGAGGTTTTACAAATAAGACTGCCTCTCTTCTTCCAGAGCAATTTCATCCACTCATTGATCCCATTCAGAACTGTAGCCCAGACTTCTCTCAAGCTGAAAGTCTGTAATTCTAGTGCTACTGCACGGCTTCTGTACCTCAACATCAGTGAAAAGGTACCTCATGGCCTAATTTCTTCCCAATAGACTCCACCTCTTAACAGCCCCTGACAGGGGACAAAACTTCCAACCTAGAACTCTGGATATAATCCACATCCCAACTATAGCTGTTGTTTCCTTTTCTTTTTTTTCTGAGACAGGATCTCATTGTGTAGCTCTGGCTGACCTGGAACTCACTATGTATACTAGGCTGGCTTTGAATACACAGAGATCCACCTACCTCTGCCTCACCCGCACTGGGATTAAAGGTATGTGCCACCACACCCAGCCACAGATGTTTTCTTAGAGGCTGTAAATCCTCTAAGGGCTGGAGAAATGACTCTGCAGTTAAGAGCACTGGCTACTCTTGCAGAGGACCCATGTTCAGTTCCCACATGGTGGCTAACAACCATCTGTAACTCCAGTTCCAGGGGCTCTGATGCCTACTTCTGACCTCTGAGGGTATTACATCCAAATGGTGCATTTACATACACACAATCATTACAAAACACACATATAGGTGGGTGTGGTGGTGCACACCTTTAATCTCAGTCCTTTGGAGGCAGAGGCAGGAGGATCTCTGAGATCGAGGCCAGCCTGGTTTACATAGCTAGTTCCAGGCCAGCTGGGGCTGCAGGGAGACCCTGTTTCAAAAAACCAAACAAACAAGCAAACAAAGAAACAAAATAAATCACCACATATACATAAAAATAAATTTAAAAAATTATAAGCTACAAATTCTCGTAAATTCTTGTAAATCATATATCAGTACTCAAAACAGGAGGAAAACAAAGTACTCACTGGGTATCTTACCTCCACACCCTTCCTCACTCTGGTATCTCTGTTTAGATTGCCTCTCCCTACTTGTTTACCTCACTGATTATTTACGGTGTATTCATAACAGTTGACTGACTACTTCAAATGCTATTCCTGGCTGGTGTGTGGTGACCCACACCTTTAATCCCAGCACTCAGGAGGCAGAGCCAGCCTGGTCTACATAGTGAGTTCCAGGACAGCTGGAGCCACAGGGAGACCCTGTCTTAAAAAAACAAAAAAAAGCTATTCCTGGATAAATCCTGATTCCCAGTCAAGGCAGGTAAACAGAGAAACACAAAAAATCCAGACTTCCAAAAGAAAGGAACGTGATGAGTGAAAATTCAGTGTCCTGTAAACTACATTTCCACAAAAAGAAAAAAATTAAAATATTTCATATGCATTTTTGATAGTTGGGGCTGGAGAGACGGCTCAGCAGTTAAGAGCACTGACTGCTCTTGCAGAGGACCTGGGTTGATTCCCAGCACCCACATGGCAGCTACGAACCATCT